TGGATGGATGGGTGGGAGGGTAGATGGATGGATGGATGGGTAGATGGATGGATGGATGGGTGGATGGATGGATGGGTGGGAGGGTAGATGGATGGATGGATGGGTGGGTGGGTGGATGGATGGATGGGTGAGTAGGTGGATGGATGGGTGGGTGGGTGGATGGATGAGTGAGTGGGTGGATGGATGGATGGATGGGTGGGTGGGTGGATGGATGAGTGAGTGGGTGGATGGATGGATGGATGGGTGGGTGGGTGGATGCATGGATGGATGTATGCATGGGGAGTGGATGTGTGGGTGGGTGGATGGATGGGGAATGGAGCCTGTAGGAGCTTCCTCCCTAGAGGCTACCATACCACCAAAAGAAGCATCCGTATCACTGTACTAAACAGGGGGACCATCCATTATGCTTGCCAACCCTTTTACCCATCCTTGTGAGCCTTTCTTTTGTCACCATATGCCCTGACTTGCCCCAGTGCACCCTCTTCTTTCACTCACTTTCACTGGGCAGCAAACTTCACTGTAGACCTCACTGTCCTCCTCCATCCTTCCTGCCTGAACTGAAACCTTGTTTCTGAGGATACCACTGCCCCTGAGGCGGTTACTGCTCTCCACTGAAAAAGCTAGGTATCAGAGAACTCCTTGTGGCCACCTCCCCTTCTCCAAGGGCATCACCCACTAAAGCTGCCATCAGCTGCTGTCCTGGTCACTTCCCCTCACTCTCTGTTCCTGGCTGTCCAACCCTCTCCACCCCAACTCAGGCCATTCTTCATGACTGCAACATCCACACGGATGACTCACCAGCGCCCTGGAGTTTGCAGTCCTTGTCTCCACTGTCCTCCCCCCTCTCCCCTCAGCCCTTCACTTCCTGGGCACACCCTGGACCTGGTCCTCACCAGAAGCTGTGCTGTCACTCACTGCCTATCTTCCTGCACTGCTCTGTCCCATCTCCTCTGCCTCTTGCTAGGTGCCCTTGTCCCACCACTAAGTCCTTCAGCTTCATCAAAATTCAGTCCAGGGACCCTCTCGTCCCCACCCTGGTCTCACCCCTGACCTGACACAGCGTGGTCTGCAGCTTGTGGCCCGTCATTCTGATTGTTCCTTTGCCTCTCGCCCACCACCCCACCCCTGCAGCACCACCACGTCCCTCAGTGGCACAGCCCTGCAGACATAGCCAGAGCCCTACGCTACTGCCTCCCCTTTTTTTCCCTGTTGGCAGACCTTAAATGGGCCCTCAGGGTGCAGTTCAGAGTGTTCCCTCCTCCCTCCCAAAGCCATCCAATGGAGACACCTCATCTTCCCACGTCCAAACCCCATACTTCCGGCCTGGGCCCTGGAAACCCTCTGCCATACCTGCTCCGAAGGCCAAG